CTATCTCTTGCTGAGATGGCTCGTGCTCTTGGACTTCCAGGAGAGTCCAGGAAGAGCTGGTTGCCTCCCGTAGTCCTTTTTTTGCTGCTTCTCGTCGTCAAAGAAGGAACGATGATTGCTTTAATCACTTTCTCACGTGGTTTTCACTCTTTTCCGTCGCTCGCGTCGCTGGTCAGGCCAGTACTGCCCGCGCGCTCTCATGCTTCGCGATATTCCCACCCCTTCCCACAGCACCCAAAATCGACCGAGCGCCGCCGGCTATGTACATACGTGCAAATCACGCCAGCGACACTATCTCTCTCTCTATATATCTCTCTCTCCTTTCCTCACACGGCTTCAACCACCGACACCGGTCAGGAATTAAACCTGAAACAAAGCCACATCGAGCATCGATACATGGTCTGAATCACCAAGACATTGATGTGGCAGAGACCAAGGGAAGGGCACGCGGAAGAGAGAGAGAGAGAGAGAGGCAAACCGGGCGAGTAATCTTAACGATTGCCTCATCCGTCACATATATATTAGCTTGCCCTCCTTATGCCTCTCTTTTTTTCCGTTCATTATTGTCATTCCATTCTCTCCTAGCCATCTTATCATTTCCTCCCCTTCCGCGTTCATTTTTTCATTTTATTCATTTTCATTTTTACATCTGCTTCATCCTTTCCTTTCTCTTGTTCTCACCTTCTGCTTTCTTTTCCCGTTCTTACGTTGAAGTTCTTTTCTATTATCATTATCCCGTCTCTAATTTCTTCCGCATCTTTCTTTAATATTTCATAGTTTTCTTTTTTTATACCTCATATGCACTGTTGCCACTGTAATTGCCTTTTTCTCAATCTCTATTTTCCCTATCACTAACTTTTTCGACTTTCCTTTCCTCCATTTCACCCTCATGCTTCCTTTCTTCTGTCTCAGTGCCATTATACAACTTCCTATTTCTCTTCCTATTTTACTTTCTCTTATTGAGTCTCTGCACTCTATATTATTCCTCTTTAGCCGATTTTCTATCATTTTATACACTCTTTCTTGCTTTATCCATGTTTCTGTGAGTCCCATTACCTCGTGCTGTCTGTCTTTCTTGTTCTATCTCTTTCTGCCCCTCTCGTCGCATTATCTCACTTTTTTATTTGTGAAACCCTCTTCTCCTTTCAAAATCATTTTTTTTCTTTTTCATCTCAACACTATTCTTTCTTTCCCGCTTTTATTCCCTTACGTCATACTTTCACTTCTTCCTCTTTTTCTCTTCTTTTCTTCGTCATCCTCCGCACTGCTTCCTTTATTCTTATGTGCTTCCACATCCAATCGTGATTTAGGTAGACTTTTACTCGCTTAACCGATTCATTTTTTTCATTGTACCCATATACTACGTATCTTGCTTGCCACATTTTTTTTCCTCTTCTTTCTTCTTGCATATCTGCCTCCCCTCTCCGTAGCTTTTTCAGCTATTTCTCTATTTCCCCTTTCCTTTCTTATTCCAACACTTCTTCTACGTCCACTATTATTATATTATTCTTCCTGCTTTCCCTTTCCATTTTTTCTGCCAACAATTCTACCTTTTATCTTGTTTTCATATTTCTTCCTCTTCCACCATTCTGTCCTCTGCTCATTCCGTTTTTTATTTTCTTCGTTTTTTTCCACCTTTTCCAATTTGCTCTTCCAGCCCTCCTCTTTTACCTCTTCTTTAGTTTTAACCGCTATTTTTTTTATTTTCTCTTGTATTTCTCTCACCTCTTCTCTCCAATTCTCTCTCTCTCTCTCTTCTTTTTATTTCCTTTTCAATTCCTCTATCATTCTTTTCCATCTTTCTTCTCTTCTTTTATTTTCCTTTATTAATCTTTCTATTACTTCTTTTATAGTTTCCTCGATTTCCTTTATGCCTTCTTCTGCCTCTCTCAGTACCTTCATTACTTCCATTAGCACTTTTCCTATATTATCCTTTTTCTTTCTTCCTGCCTCCTCTTCTCTTGTCGTTACGTCCATTTTTTTCAACATATTCGATTCCCCTCCGCTCTCTTCGCTCTCACTTCTACTTTTTTTTCTTGACTAATTATCCCCTTTACCTATCTTCTCCTCTCTTTTACCTTCTTTCACTTCATCCCTTCATCCCCCCATTTTTCCCTGTCTTTTTTCGCTCTTTTTTTACCTCTTTTTTCTTGTCTCTTTTTTTTTGTTTATTTTCTTCTCTTCCCAACTCTCTTTCTCCCCCCTCAACACAATCTCATTTCCTACTCTCACGCCATCCACTTTCTCTCACACTTTTCTTAACGCGCGCTAGACACACCTCTCTTTAATTCTCAAGTCAAAAATGTAATTGAAATATATAAATAAATTATCTTTAGTTTATAATTAATTGTATTATTTATTTATAAAACCATAACCACTTGTTACTCAAACACTGAAACGTCATAATATGAATAAATTCTATAAAATGTCGATAAAAAACTTTAAATTAACAAAAAAACAACAGCTGAATTCTAGATTATGATTTCACCTAGGATATTTTTCTTAAGGGTCCTACACTCATATTCAGGAATAAAATCCATAGATATTTACCATTTGATTAAAATTTTTTTAAACTCACCGTGCATACGGTGTATTTAAAAAGCGAATAAATAAGCATCTATCTATTTATCTATCTATCTCTTTTTCTCTTTCATCCGACTATCAACAAAAAAATCTGTTCAACCTCAGGCTGATATATTGCATGTACTTTTCGAAAGTATAAAGCGTAAGAGTAAGACATCAATTCACATTACTAAAACACAGTTGCAATTAATTACTTTTCTCTTTTGTTAAAAAAATTACATGAAATAAAATACAAAAAAAAAAAAGAAATCTTCACGAAATACCAAATCGACTACACACCATAACTCTTGTATACACAGTTATCAGTTGACAAATAAATCTATTTTATAATTAATTTGGTGTTGTGTTTTTCTTTCACGATTGAACTGATTTCTTTTGCTAAATTTGTCTCTTGGCGCGAACAGATGTCCTACTTCTATTATGCTTTTCACGACTTTTTTCTCCCTCACCATACTCTTACCTTCTGTACATACTTATTGTAGTCGTATATTATACAATATGCAAAAAATATTATAGTAATATACATATGTATATTACTTTCTTGCATATAGTCATTCGTTCATATATTGTTAGAAAGCTCATGCACTCTTTCTGCTGTCAATCATAAGAGAAAATTTATATGCATATGCATATGTCACCGTAGAGTTAAATGACAGTTAAATGCGAAAGGTAAAATAAAACGATATTGAATAAAAACATTGTACTGTGGATTAGTGAAATTTGAATGTGCGACTATTAGTGAAGAATTTATATGAAAATAATAATAATAAATAGCTCGGTACACAATTTTAATGAAATGATGAATAAATCAACTACATCACGGTAACAGATCAGCTAGTGAAAGAGTTATTTTCGTCTGTGCACTTTTGTCCAGTATAGAATGATTGTGACGAAAAAATTTACCCGTCACAATATATGAATGCGTGTATAAAATAATATATATAATATAATTAGACACGAAATAGGAAAATTGTAACAGAGAATATACGACCGTTCCCGTCTGGGTATCTCGCGGCCGTCCGCACAAATTATTTATTTGAGAAAGTAAAATACGTTCCCACGACTGAATAACGCGTTCAGCACAACCACATCAAACGCACAGATTCCAGGTCGGGATGAGGAGTGATACAGCGGTGAATAAACACAACAGCAAATTAACGCACTAATCCTTTAATTATCAACAATCGTCTACAAGACGGCGATGTCACACTTATATATTACGAGCGGCACAATAATAAATGCGAATGCGAAGGTGAGTCGGTGACTGGTCAGCCAGCCGATTCCCTTTTTAAAACTAATTATTATAACAAAAGCCTGACAAACACTTTCCGCCGTTATTTCATCAACGGGGTAGCCAGCAGATCTGCCGTGCTACCACCCATCAGCTGCCGCCCAAACACACAAGAGAGAGAAACAAAAAAAAAACACAGCACCGACCTCGACCTTCAGCCTCTCTGACCGCTATAACGCTTTGCAGTGTGACGTCACTGGTGCGCTCCTTCTCGCTGAGCATCTCGCTGGTGTTAATAGCGTCGCTATTTGTTCTCTTGCTCGTCCTCTCGTTCATTCTATCAATCTTGATGCCTTAATCTGTTGTTTCCCTCGTTGATTTCTATTGTTGTTGCTTTTACTGCCCCTTGGTTGTTCGGTACTGCAGCAGCGTCGAAAAAACCCGCGCAACTTGCTGGTTACCCACACGCACCGATGCCGGGTATCCTTCGGGACACGGCTGGGCGCAACCCAGCCTCATACTCTACTACTCGTCCGAGCACCGGGCGTGTCTCCCAAAACGAAAACATTGAAGAGGTGGTGGGGCCAACTCCGGAAAACCGTTGACTTCGATTTCCGTGGTGATACGCAACTAGAGCGTTCTCTCTCTCTTTTCTTCTTTTTCTTCCGCGCCATCTCGATCGCTCCAGCCGTCAGCTCAGCCCGTACGCAGCATCTCAAAACAAAAACCAAGCATGAGTGTGCGTGTCACACGCACACACTCTCAGCTTGGCGCGGCGCGCGGACATTTGCGAGAGCCAAACGGATGAAATCGGCCTAGCCAAGATTCTCCGTTACAAAATTATAAAACAAGTAATTAAGGTATCGTTAATTCCTTCGAAAACTGGTTTGCAATGAGTTAAACTAATATCGAAAAAAAATCAACGAAACCGAACCCAACCCAACCCAACCCTTAGATTCCTTCCAATGCTACGCCAGTAAAGCTAGGAATTTTTTTATTCAATTTAATATATACACAGAAGAAATTGTAAAAATAATGTTACAAAAAATAAAAAAAATTTGTATTAATGTTATATTATGAGAATATAATATAATGAGAAAACGAAAATAAATTTATCATTTAAGTAATACATGTTTTACAAATTTAAGTGCTTTATAAATACGTTTAACACAATTGAATATTTCAGCATTACTTATCTCACTATGGCTATTTACCTTTGTCAAGTCCAGCGACTGGAGGCATTATATCTGAGAAGGCGCTACATCGTGCACTTGCTGAATTTCAGTCGTTTGCCGGTATTAATGTTACAGGTAAGCTAATATTATTAATATATTCATTCATATTTATTTTGTATTTCTAATGTATTTGATTTTCAAGGGTTAATTTCTTTTCAACTTATATATCAACGAATTGCTGCAATTACACTATACTTTTGTATTTATCTCTATTTTATCAGTTCTAATTTACCTAAAATGAATTTTCTTTATTATTTGCAATAAATATAAGTGAAGTCGCTAGAAGAAAATTGCATCAATTTTTCTAAATATAATTTGTTTAGTTTTTCAAAACTTTCCTGTTAAGCTTTATTTATGATCGCTTTCTTTAGTTTTAAATTTTATTCAAAATTAAAAAATTACGAAGTCTGTCCGGAAAGTATCGGGCCTACCTTTATATTTTCGTGCTAGCGTTATTCTTTATCATCTGGTGGGTGGCATCCTTCAAAGTAATCCCCACTTGATGGAATAACATGGTTATCGATGTTTCCACTTTTCAAACCAGTCCTGAAACTCACTTTTAGGGATAGCCTTAAGTACACTCGTCGCATTTTTTTATTATTTTATTTATTATTTATTTACCATTATTTTTTTATTATTTTATTATTTTATTATTTTCATAGTGAGATAAGTAATTTTCAACCGTTGTTTTATCATCGAATCGGTGTCCTTTTAGTGTTTTTTTTTTAGTTTTGGAAACAGCCAAAAGTCACAAGGGGCTATGTCGGGACTATATGGAGGTTGTCGAAGCAATACGATATTGTGTTTGCTCAAAAACTACTGCACAAGATTGGATGAATGCGCTGGCGCATTATCGTGAGGGAGAAGCCAGTCACTACTTTTCCAAAAGTGCGGCCGTTTTCTCCTTACTGCATCACGCAAACGTTTCAAAATTTGAACATAGTATTCTTTATTGATTGTCTGACCTGTTGGTGCATATTCGTGATGTACAACACCTTCACAATCGAAAAAAACAATCAACATTGACTTAACATTGCTCCGACTTTAACCTGCCTTTTTTTGGTCTTAGCGATTCAGAATGCTTCCACTGTGAAGATTGTTGTTTTGTTTCAGGATCATAACCATAAACCCATGATTCATCACCTGTAATAACTTTTCTAAGCACATTATCATCATTATTGACCATTTCCAGATTGTCCAGAGCGATTTCTAAGTGAATGTTCTTCTGCTCTGCTGTAAGAAATTTTGGAATGAATTTCGCACACACGCGTTTCATTCCTAAATTTTCGGTTAAAATTTCTGAAATGATAGTTTTTGGTATCTCAAGGTCTTCTTCTAGTTCTCGGACAGTCATACGACGATCTTGTTCGATTGCAAGTCGCACCCGCTCAATATTATATGCGGTTTTCGTTGTCGAAGATCGGCCGGAACGAGAATCACTATCCACAGAAGTGCGACCATCCTTGAACCGTTTATACCACTCTTTTATTCGTGTTTTGCTCATACACTCGCTCCCGAAGGCCTTTTGCACCATTTCAATAGTTTCCGAACTCGTTTCTCCGAGTTAAAATCAAAATTCGACGAACGCGAAAAAGGCACTGTAAACAAAGACACGCTACGCATGAACTATACGTCCGGCAGGTGTCGGTAAGTAACCAATAGATTCGTGAGGCTTTACTGTTGACGTTTCTGTCCGGTAGAGGTATCTCGAACACTATGGCGCGAAGATATAAACGTAGGCCCGATACTTTCTGGACAGACCTCGTACTTGTGAGTAATGACGTAGCTTTGTTGTTATTAGAATTGTAGTCATCAGAATACTACAAAAACTCCGTACTCGGCTTTTCTCATGATTCAGTTGTTTTCTAAACAGGTTATGTATGTAGCTTTACTACAACATTCAGTGGCAACAATATCTTACCATCGAAAGTCAATTCAAGTTGTTACTTTAAAAGTTACATTCAAAACTCATTACTGCAAATAATTGTAATAGAATAAATGAGATAGTTGAGTTTTATTATTAATAAAAGTGTTTATTGAAGAAAGACTTTTATTTTCCTACTGTCAAAAACTTTTACAGTCAAATGAAATGATTTTTGGCAGTATCTACTAGGTATTAGCAGAGGTCGTCACATGGCAACTTTTTCAAGTCTTTTCTACGAGTTTTTTTGGGTCACTCCTACCCATCTTTAGCAGATACTCAGCATCGGTACGTGTTTGTTACCGGCAAGGCTTCATGGCGCGCGTAAGTGACCATTGCTGCCAGCAGTGCTGTTGAGCAACGGCTACAGCAGCAGTGAGAGCGGCAATAATATCCAAAACAGCAACAACAACAGCAACACTACAGGGAGCGTAGACGAAGGATAGCGAGGCAATCCCTCCTGAAAATAAAGCATTAGATCTTGGATAAGTATTTACGTACGAAATAGAATAAGAAATATCATGAGAACTTATGTAAGTTCTTATTCAAGACCTATCGGTGGGTTTTCTACGTGTGAACTTATATAAGAAATTGCATAAGAACTTGACTACTATTTAATTAAAAAAATGATTGTGATTATTATTTGGCCATAATTAACCTTTTTATTTATTATTCTAATGTTATAAACATGAGTCAATAATAAAGAATAATAGCTATACAACAATAATAGCTATTAATCATATTAATAATGCCAACGACTTCTCTCTCATTTTCTCTCACTTTCTGTTTCTATCGCATGTTCCCAGCGATAGCTTACTGCGAGTATCGTGACAGACCTGCCAGCTACACTGTCGGCTATAATCGTCGATCGTGATACGGTAGGTATCTTGATCAAATATAAGGGTTGTAAAGGAAATCAGTAAGCAGATCTGTCACCTATCCGTCCTCGTAATCCCGTTTTCCTTATGACGTGTGCAAGAGCAGGCATTTTATTCATCGAATATATATATAAATTTTGTTTTTATCGAGTAAAGGTCTCAAGTTTAAATCGTTAGTTATTGCCTAAGTTTCTCCTCATCCTGAATTCTGACCCGTACGATTGACACGTTTGCTCGGCGCGTTATTCAGTCGTGGAGTGTACGCGCCTCCTGAATCTCCCTTTTAAATAATTTGTATGGACGGTCACGAGCTATCCGAATGGGAATGGTTGACATCTGCGTTATATGGCATTCTTTGTGGGAAATTTCGCAACGCGCTTATGATTTGGTTGAAATAAATGAGGAATGACGGTTGCTCGGGCCGCAATCGAGTCGGCGGGTTGTGACAGCGAATGATCGCGATTCAAGCGTACGTTCGCGGAGGCTCAGTGAGTTCCAGCAATTACTCTGAGTACAGAGGCTGACCTTAGCACACGCGATTTGGGTAAATCGATGCGCTGTAACTGGGGTGCTGGTAAACAAGATCAAACAGATACTGCTGAAGTCAAAGGGCTATACTCCACGTAATTAGGTTTGTTGTCGGATATTTTTATTTTCTTTGATATTTTGGTTGTGACTGCCGATCGTAGAAGGATCCATACGGAAAAAGACGGTCTACACTGTGCGTGACATCGAGTATTACGGAGATAAGCTGAAAAAGCATCGTGAGTATAAGATGAGGTGACACCCCTCTTCTGCTAAGAACAATTTGCCATTCGAGAATGCCGCCTACGGTGGTAAGAGCAAGAAGAGCCACGTGGCAGCCAAAGCCATGGCTGTTTATGTAGACGTATCTACTTCGGAAAAGTCGAAGGCGAAGACAAAGAAGGGAAAGGGAAAAATTTCTGATATCGTCACAATCGGACATTTATTAGGCATCGTCTCGGGAATGTAATGGTGCATAGCCGACAGTTCCATCATGTAGCCCAGACTAAAAGAACACTCCAACTCTAGGATCCAAGGGAAACACAGAATATTAGGCGAGAAGCTATGGCAGCCACATCCTTGCAGATACCGGTGCTAATTGATAAACACCAGCAAAGAACGGGCAAATTCGGGCTGCCGTTCATAAGAGGTGCTATGGTTGTAATAGAAAGGGCCATAAAATCTCGGAGTGCTCCAACATTAACCGGCGTCAAAGCAATCAAGCACAGGGAAACCCAGTCTACTTTCTATGTCACAAAGTGGGTCATTATATCCTAGGTTGTGGGTAGGTTGAATGAATTGTAGCAGGTGTGCTACGCTCCGAATTGCACTTTCAGTATGTGCTTGAACTGCGAGTCAATCCGCAGGTGGGCGAAATATTGATCAGCAGAGAACGGATGCTCTCTAATATAGCTCGCGGTGGGTTGTCGACTTCGAAAACGATGAGTTCAACTTAAGAGTGAGAGTCTAGGAAACATGAGGGATGGAGACGGATAAGAAGTATTGGCAGAAGCTCACTAGGCGACTCGAGAGCCATTGGCAGGTGAGTACGACGAGGAGTGCCTGGAAGTGCGTGATGGACAGGAGTACCATAGGCACCAGTCATGTGTGGCAGCTCCCGCAAGTGAGTCCTTGCATTGAATTACCCATTGAGTGAGTTTATGCATTGGATTGCCCTATTGAGAGAGTCTTTGCATTGGATTGCTCTATCGAATGAGGCATTGGGCAGGTCCAAGGAGCTTACGAATGGGACGATAGGATTCTCTGGGTTATTGTTAGAGATGACCTCATATGTTGGAAATATAACATGGGAGTTGAAGGCTTCGTCGGTTCCATTGGGGCAAAGATCGTGGAGGACACGAATAGTTGTTTGGCCAACTCTGGTAGTGAAAATCCTATTGTGAACATGTAACAGGAAAACGTTCACGGCTCATATTATTCATCAGCGGCAAACCGTACAGTGCGCTATTCGACACGAGTCCATAGGTATTGGTAGTAGGCTGCCGAATCATAGACTTCCGAGTTCAGGTTAAGAGGATCCCTGGTGTGGTGAATGGTTTCTCCGGGACACCAGTTAGCATTCTGAAGAAGCTGCGGTTGGTGATTAAGATCGCCACGGTAGTCCAGTCAATCAAGGCATATGCTTGCGAACAGAAATTGCAGTACATGTTCTCGGACAGGGCTTTATCCGGATGTTCAGCTTCCGGATGGACGTCGCGGAAAACGCATGGAGTGTTAAAGGTCAAGAAATA